TTTTCCAGTTTTCCCCCCCGACTGTATTACATGTGTTACTCAATGTCCCCTCCTCACCCCCAATGTCATTTCAGTTTCCCACTGTTGCATAAGTTTTAGTTGATATGTCCCAATTATCAGCAAGAAGACAAGAAATGAATGAGGGAGCAGGGGCAAAACTCAGAGGAAGAAGAAGAAATCGGACTTTTATCTTGCATGTTAAATATTTTTATGTTAAATAGTTCAGTTTATGTTTCTAGTTTAGCTTAATTTGGAAAAATGTGACTGGGTGGGGATTTTATTTAGTTGACTGGAACTTTAGCATGGGAATTTTTGTTTTTAAAGTAATAAGAGATTGGGTTATTATTTTATGGTATCACTTAGATTAAATTGGCTTATCTATATATATGAATGAAACTGCAGCAATAAAGTTGGTCAGAAATGTAATTTTAAATGAAATTTAGAGTCCTTTAATGTTGAGATTAGGGGTTCTCCCCAACGAGCCCTAACTCTACTCTCACATATCTCATCCCATGACTAGATCCTAAGCCGGGACCATAACAAAGTGGAATCAGATCAGAAGGTCATGGATGGTTTTCAGAAATTCCAGCCGTGGCCTGGGGTCATCCTCAAAACATACCAGGATAATCATATTGAGTTGAAAATGGGCAAAAGGAGTTGATACTGCAGACACAAGGCTCTTGGGAGCTCTTTGCCTCTGAGACAGGAAGAGACGTTGCTGGTGAAACCAGCTGCGCTAGTCGCTGCAATAAGCAGCCTGTGGGCTCCAATGACAGCTCTAAACATTGTGGTACAATTGCCGGTTTGCGAAATAAGATTTCCCATTCTTTGATGGCAATGCCAGCAACTAGGCTGGTTGAACTGCTACAATCATTTTTTTTTACATCAATGCACAACAGATGAGGAAAATTTGGGTTTTCTTCCTTTCGTTTTGAGGGATTCACTCAATTATGGTTCCAAAAAGTGAAATAGGATTGACCTGGCATTTCTGACTTTACATCCCACTGCAACCTTCCCTTTGGACCTCCTGTTCGTAGCGGCTGGTTGGGTAAATTGGTCAAGCTTTCAGAAATGTTTTCCGCAACTATTAGCCTGATCAGACCTCTTTTGCTTTAAAAGAGGTGGGAGCTTTTTGATTGGTTTAATACGTCGCATTTGAATCAAAGCAGAATTACAGAGGCCTCCTATTCTCACCACTGTAATGAGCCTTGAGCATTTGTATGAACAACAAGAGGTCTAGGCTCTTCAATAGGTCGTCTCACGTAGTTCTTCAAGGTCAGTATTGGGTAAACAATGGATTCAAGTGGAGTTGGAGAGAGACATGAAACGGTTGTGTGACTGTTGTGATGAATCTTATGTTGGAAGACGCCATTGTAAATGTTATCCTGCTTGGAGCGTTCGGAGGAAAATGACATGATTCCTGGGATCTGGAATTATTGGTCACTGCAATCTTTTGGTCCGCAAGGACTAGTAGATTTTGGAAGAAGGAAATAATGTTTTTTTTTTAAATAGAGAGGGAAATAATGTTATGCCCCATTTATTGGCAAGAGAGAAAAAGCTAACAAGGCAACAGGGGCAGAACCCAGAGGAAGAAGAAGAAAGTGGATCCTGCTCTTTTACATTAATATGTTTATGTTAAATAGGTTAGGAGGATTCTAATTTAGCTTAGTTAGGGAAAGATGTTATTGGCTTGGGATTTTATTTAGGAAGTTGATTAGTACTTTGGAATAGGAAATTCTATTTTTAAGGTAATAAGAGATTGCATTAGGGTCTATAGGATCAACAAGACCTAGAGGAAAGGAAGTACCTTGGCTTACCTTTATATGTTCATGCAAACTACAACAATAAAAGTAAGCAGAAGTATAATTTTAAACAAAACTTAAGAGTCCTTAACTTCAGAGATTGTAACTCATCCCATGACCAGATCCCAGTTTCACCTCAGCCTAGAAACAGTTAAATTCCTGGATAAAAGCAAAAGTGCTTCAAGTTCAACACTAAATTGATTTTGAAATGAAAAATGGAATTAGTTTCAAAACTGAATTTTGTTGCTAAGTACTTCAAATTCAAACAAATCCATTATTTTCCCAATGGGTTCAAAGAGAGAAAAAAGGAGAGGAAGACAAGAGGGAGCAGTCTCTGGAAAGTCATTGGATGAAAAGAATATTTCTTTTTATAGAGAATTTATGTCATTGCTCAATTTCTGTTTAGCTCATCTTATTCCTTTGTCAATTAAACTTGGTTCAGATTAGGTTTCTCTAAGGTTTGAAAACTTGTGGGAGTAATGTGTAGGTTTTACCAAACCTGAGGTGGCAATTTTTATATTCTGGAATCATGAAGTAGAATCAGCCATGGTGCTTTGTGTTAGACACCTAATAGATACTCTCATTGTCTAAACAGTTACTAATAAAAAATTGTTTTGGCTGTCGAACACATACTTTTTAGCACAATTTATGAGGAACTAACCTTAAAAATGTCCTCCTCTAGTTCAATTATGAATTTCTCTGTCAAACTTAAAAGAGTTTTATGGTTGTCCAATGCTTTCATTTTGTAGACAATGTTCCCCCCTCTCTCTCTGTATTTTTTTTTCCCATATCAAGTCTAAGTCTGTTTTTAATTGAGAACTGCAACTTGAAAGTTGCTCATATTTGTTTGATAAATAAAAAATTATTTGTATTTGTTACACACTTACTGTAATCAATTTAAGATATTAACAGTGTATGAGTTTGCAGGCGTTGGTGCAAATGAAAAATTGGTTTGCACGATTTCCAACAATTTTACAGGCTTGTGAGAGCATCATTGAGATGCTCAGAGGACAGTACTCACATTCTGTTGGCTGCTATAGTGAAGCAGCCTATCATTATACTGAAGCAGCCAAGGTATACTGTCTTATTTTTCACACCTGGCTTTCAAAAGATCCATACTGCTAATTGATTGTTATTAGCTAATTGCCTAAAGTCTGTTATGTTGGTACCTAAATCTGTGTTGCAAATATATTAATCAAGCGTAGGATGTACATTCAGCGTCTGTTGTTGAATAACTGCTTGTTTTTCTGTAACTGAGACTAAATGTTCTAATTTTCAGCTCACAGAGAGAAAATCAACACAAGCTATGTGCCAAGCATATGCGGCTGTTTCTTACTTCTGCATTGGTGGTGCTGAATCATCTTCAGAGGTGGTGTCTCCCACAATTAAGGGACTTTATTCTTGATAATTAATTTCTTTTTAAGTTATATTATCAATATTTTTTATTGGATGGTTTTGGTTCTGTTATTGACTTTGTGCTTTGCATTTACGCACTTGATTTGATTGGACCACTTTACAGAATGAAAGATTCTTTCGTTGGTGGTCGAGAGGAAGCAAGTATTCTTTTTGCATATGGTCTTCTACTGATGAGGCAACAAGATCTGCAGGAGGCAAGGTTGGTTTTCAGTTCATATTCAAATTTTGTCATGATTAAACCATCTCTCCATGGGTGAGATGGTTATGTCCTTCTCTCTTTTCCGAGAGACTAGGGGTCCTACTCTTACGAAGCCCCTTGGGGCCATCAAAAAAGGAAAAAGAAAAAAAAAACTCTCCTGATTATGTTGGTCTAGACGAACTCAATCCTTTGTCTTTCACAGGTGAAATGTGTCATACCTCCTAAATAATATGCTTTTGTTCTGTTAATTTTTTTAATCAATATTGCTAGTAACCTCTCTTTCCTTTATTACTATCTAGCTGTCTGTATCTGCCTTCTTATTCTACTTTCTAAGTCAGGAGCTCGTTTGCAGAAATCGACTGGCCAAAGGCTTACAGATTGCACATAACCAGATGGGGAACCTTCAACTTGTTGCGCAGTATTTGACTATTCTTGGGAGTTTGGCTCTTGCTTTGCATGATACTGTCCAAGCCAGAGAGATCTTGAGATCCTCTCTTACCTTGGCCAAGAAGCTTTATGACATCCCAACTCAGATCTGGGTTCTCTCAGTTTTGTCAGGTCAGTAGCTTTAATACTCTTTATCATCATGAAAATGGTGGATTCCTGAGTGCAACAAAGGTTAGCTTTTTAAAAAAAATGGAAAAGAAATATTATAAGGGGGAAGAAAAGAAAGTACACACCAGAGAACACGAGATCCCCCAGTAAAGAACTAGATCAAAATAAGAAAAAAAAGGAAAAACAGAAGTTACTTTTGACATCAAGTACTCATTTGCCCAATATCTGCATCCTTAGTTATATTCATTCAATGTTCTGTTACTAAATCTTCATATGGTTCGATTTAGTTTCTCAGAAGTAGTGAAATTCAAACTTCAAGGTAGTTGAACTATTTTTTCTGCAGTTTTGTATAAGCAATTAGGTGAGAGAGGAAATGAAATGGAGAATGACGAATATCAAAGGAAAAAGTTGGAGGATTTGCAAAAGAGGCTTGCTGATGCACGTTCATCCATGCATCACATTGAACTTGTAATTTTGTTTAACTTTTTTCAGTTTTTCTTATTGTGAGAATATCTAGGAATTTTCTTTGGTAGACCATCAGAATTAGTAATTTACTTGCATTTAATGTATTCTTTGAGCAGATCGACAAAGTTAGGCTTGAAGTTAAGCAATACAATGAGCATGATACAAACCGTGCGAAGGCAAGTCAATCCATGAAAGTCAATCTTGATATTCCGGAGTCTGTTGGTATATCTATACCATTACCAACACTTTCATCAGCAAGGCTAGTTGATTTAGACACCAGCAGACGATCAGCAAGGCTTGCTGATTTAGACACCAGTGGACGTGGAAAAAGAAAATTTTGATTTTCATTCTGTTTTGCAATTATTATCTGGCTTGAAAGTAGAAGCTGTACATAGGGTTTGAGGTACCATTATACACCGAGTCACTGTTACTGACATAATGCTCAGGGGCATTGATTAGTGCTGTATAGCTAAATTAGGGTGCTTACAGTTTTTACAACATAGCTTCTTTCTGTTGAATTGGTGCAGAATTTGCCTTGTAATTTAAATGCTTTATACTCATTATATTTTTCAGTTTCATGAGAGAGCTATAATTGCTTGGAATTCATGGCTAAGTTTTTTCTTTTCTGCAGCCATATTTCTTTTCAAAGAACTAGGAGGACATTGAAAATCTGTACAAAAATCTGTATCACTTTCAATGAATTAGCTTTTTCTTTCTTCCCTGCAGTACGTGTAGGAGTTCCTTCAGGCTTCAGATGCCAAAGGTGATGAAAATATTCTGCTTTCTTGCTTTGCTTCGTGTTATCATGGTCCCTCTGCTGTTGTTAGACCTGCAATTTCCTTGAGTGGCTTCCACATGAATTTTCTCCTGTGAGTGAAAGTTGTTACAACATTGTCTTGTTAACATATACATGAGTATAGTTCCGTGGAAGAGAAAGCTAAAGGAGTGTTCAGCATGTTTATGTAACTGGCTTTACCAGTTTCCACATTCTGCAATGACTCTGACTTTAGGGCGCAGCGAGGGAAGCAAGGCTAGAAACTGCAATTCTGACTTGGAGAGAACCTGTGCGGAATATAGAGACAGAAAAGAATAAAATGTACATTCGGCTTACTCCTCTGCGAATCAAACAGCTTGAAGAGCTCAAACTAAATAAGTGAGGATGTCAAGTGTTATTACCTTGGCTTCTATCACCCAGACAATGAGTCCTTTAGCATCCGGTGGCAGTGCATCAAGCCTATAATCTACTTCTGGTGGGAAATACCAACGTGCTATCGGCTGTTTTCCTACATGAGCCTACAACATGTGTACATGGAATTCACTAGGAAGAACGGCATGATTGTGATAAGAAAAACAGGAGAATTACTATCCAGAGGTAGTAAATGGAAAACATACGGGGCAAACAGGATGGACTTTGGTGAGTGTGTTTTCAGGATCACCAAGGCCACGAGCAGTGAGGTCAAGGAAGTAGTAGCCCTGGTATCTGAGGCGAGTGAAGTAGCGACCCTCATACCCTCCTTCGTGTGGAGTGTATATGGCAAGGGCTCTGTGTTCTTCCACGTCTGATAGCCAACGCCCAAGATCCAACTTAAGCAAATCTCCTCCTATGAAGTCTCCTATTCCTATCTCGCTACTACACCTCACCCTCCCAGCACTTTTGCTGGAGGAGGAAGTGGTTTTACTGTATTTACCTCCCAGTACCATCATCATTTTTCTGGGTGGTAGCTGCATGATCTGCTGAAGATGGAGTGATGGCTGTGCCCCATGTTGTAAGCAGCCTGCAAAAGCTGCCATTTTCTCTCTTCTTTCTCTCTCTCTAGAGTATGAAGAAATAGGTGGAAGACAATGAACATGGAGAGGGGGCTTCTTGTTTTGTGGAAGCAGCGAGTATGAAAGTTGAATGGTGGAGAAACGAGATAAGAAACTCTGCCGACTGACAAGTGGCAAGTGCCAAGTGCCAACCAACAGTCCTTTATCATGTCACAGTGACCAGACTACATGTATATATATATATATTTTGAGTGGTTATATATAGAGTTATATATTTATAATGTGCACATTTTCTGGGTGTTTTGAATTGAAGGCAATCATTTGATGTGCGGTTAAGAAAACATATTGAACAATGGTTGTGGTGCATCCTTCATATTGCTTGGACTGTCTTTGAGGTCTTCAAGTCATGATTTTTCTACTATTTTCTCTGCGTATGTCCGGAATTAAAGGGAAAAAAAGGTACTTGTTTACGAAGGAAAAGAAACCAAAACAAAATAATAAATTAATAATTAATAAAGAAAGCTACTTGTTCGATGAAAAAAATCTTTCAATTACGTAGAATGCAAGAGGGAAAACTAGTGCTCGAAACGAAAACTGGTTATTGTAGCATAATGAGCACACAGATCACGAACTTGAGCTGGTCTCTTTTTATTGGGTTTGTATTATTTTGGTAATAGAATCGTCTTGTCCTACTCCTCTGATACTTGACAATTTGTCCCCTTCTTTCAACTTGACCCTCCTCAAATTTTTGGGTTTTCCCCAAAACATCAGTTGGGTTTCGAGTGTTCGGAATCTCTTCCATCTGATTTCAAAGGAAGTGGTCGGATTTCAATAGAAAAGCAATAACTTGAAGGATGCTGGGGGCTTCCAGGGGCTTTAGGGCTCGTGGCCTTACAATCTTGCGCCATAACCTCCATCAACATCCCCATAATTATATTTTTGATTGCAAGTCTAATCGAGCTCTGAGTGGCGGAGGAGAAAGAAGACACCTTCTTAACTGCAGCAGCTTCATCTTTGGAGATCGAGGCGAAGATGACTTGTATACCAGCAGAGCATACTTCAGTTTTGCAAGACTAAGCAAAATAGGGACAAACTGTGGCCGCAATATCAAGATTAATGCGTTCCTTTCAGACCCCGCCAATTCTTCCTCTTCCTCCTCCCTATATCATCTACCGGTTTGTCTCTTTACAGTTCGTCCTTGTGTCTGTTCTATGCGTTTTCTGGAAATGATGTACTTTGACTAATTATTTGTTCTGTTTCAGATAAAGAAATTTCCAGGTTTGATTGATTGTGTTGTTTTTTCATAATTCAAACTGGTTTTCAGTCTTCGATGCTCAATGGTCGCGTCTTATTCTCATCTTCAACTTCCAATGACGATGCAACATCCTCCAAGCAAAACAAAAAAGCCTCGGCCTCTCTTGCTCAAACGTCTTCAGACCAGCAACAAGTTGCCGACATGAAAATCCTCCGTACTCTCGCTGGTTATTTGTGGATGAGAGACAACCTGGAGTTTCGCCTCAGGGTCGTCACTGCCTTGGCTCTGCTTGTTGGTGCTAAGGTCTTGAATGTTCAGGTTCCCTTTCTCTTTAAGGTTGCTGTTGATTGGTTGACCGCTGCTGCCACCAATGTTGGCCCGCTTGCGGCTTTGAACACCGCTAATCCTACTCTTGTTGCACTTTTTGCTACCCCGCCTGCTGTTCTTATTGGATACGGTGTTGCGCGAGTCGGGGCTTCTGCTTTCAACGGTATGCTAATACATCAAGTAATTGCTTTGATTGGTACTACATGCTTAGTATAAGCTTCCACGATCATTTCTTTATTATCTGTCTTATCCATGATTTCTTCTTGTAGGCCCTCTCTATTGTTAATCAGACTCTTCTTTCAGTCCCAATTGAATTGTCCTAATAATTCTTTTTCATTCGCATAGTAACTAATTGTTGGATGCATCTGGGATATTGTAGAACTTCGGACGGCTGTCTTCTCCAAGGTAGCATTGCGAACAATCCGCTCTGTGTCTAGAAAGGTATGCCACAGCCTAAATCTCATGTTGTACTTCTTGCTAGTCTGACCTCCACTAACTGATCCTACATATGCCAGTTTATTCAACTTACGGACTTTTGCTTTTTGCAGGTGTTCTCGCATTTGCATAACCTTGATCTTCAGTATCATCTCAGGTATTTCTTTGTTCCTGCTAATTTTTTGTAAGTTAGCCTGCATGAAATATTATTCCTAAGTATGCAAATCACTAATTGCAATCAAACTATATCCTGTGTGAACTCCTGAATGCTCAAGCATAATTTTAAGGTGTGTATACTGATTAGGGTAATGGACAATGTATAGTGGAATCCATGATCCCATAGACCTTATTAGGAGTTTCATATGCAAAAGAATCAGTTTACTTTAGAGTTTCAGGATATCTGGTCTAGCATGTTATGTTTGATACATATAAATCGTATATCTCAGGATAGGTCTTAACAATGTTATATCTCTACAGTAGATCAGTACCTGTTAATTTAACCTTGTTACTCGATCCTGGTGGTATTGGATGATGTTTCGACGAGAGAGTACTTCAAAATCAAGTTTGGTTAATGTATCCGGCCATTGGGCCATATTGTGTACTATGTCATTCTTTTGAAACATGATTAGGTGCTCAAGGGCAATGATGTCTCATGTCTCAAAAACGAAAAAAATGAAGTCAAGTTTTAGCAGTATACTAGCTAATATTCTGTAACATGTTATTCTTTTCAAACATGATGGAGTGTTCTTAAGAAAACAGCTCTGGCTCACATGCTTCTAATTATCATGGAACATCTGTTTTACAGTCACATTATGTACATGTGGTTCCTTATCTTACTTGCCTTCTGTATCTAAAAGAAAATCTTACTTGCCTGCTGTATTTCTAGTCGAGAAACAGGTGCATTAAGCAGAATTATTGATCGTGGTAGCCGTGCAATAAATTTTATCCTGTCATCTATGGTGTTCAACGTTGTTCCCACCATCTTAGAGGTATATCTTGACTTCTAGTGAACTTTTGTTTTATAAAGATACTGGATTCTGTTCTTCTGCACACCATTTTTCTCAATAGAAAGCAGAGTATTCAACAGGCACTCTGTCTCTATGGTGTTCTCCAGTTATTGTGTCTGTTCTTCCTCATTTCTGAACAAAATCGACATATTTAATATGTATCCTCCAGATATCTATGGTGTCAGGTATATTAGCATACAAGTTTGGAGCACCATTCGCATGGATCACATCACTTTCTGTTGCAGCATATGTTGCTTTCACCTTGACTGTGACCCAGGTACTATCTCTTCTGCTGACCCTGTATCAATATTATCCACACAAGTTATCAGTTAAATTAGTACACTAAATTTTCTCTTTTATTTATTATTGCCTCCCCACTTTTAGAATGATTAATCAATCTTTTTCACAATACTTTTCTTCTACATAACTGATTATAAGTGTATTATAAGCCATCTTCCATTGGTTTGCTAGAATGTGCTCAGTTTTAGCTTGTACTCCCAAAGGCTATAGTTCTCTATGCTTGTACTTTTAAGAAATCGTTTTTCTTCCTGAGTGGATGCAGGACAGGGGGTACTTGGTTTCAGAAACAAATGGGTTCTTTTTATTGTATTGTCCCTTCCCTTTATCTTAGCTTGGTGAGAATTTTGGCATTAAGCTCTTTCTCCTAATATTTTCCTGTCTTTTCCAGTGGAGAACAAAGTTTAGGAAAGCAATGAACAAAGCCGACAACGACGCAAGTACAAGGGTTGTTGATTCATTAATCAATTACGAGGTGAGGATATAATATTCTTTTTTGCAGCTTTTCTGTTTGTCTATTGGTTTAGATCAGTGATTATTTTCTAATGCTCTTATTATTACCACATTTTCATTTCAGACTGTTAAATATTTCAACAATGAAGATTATGAAGCTCAAAAGTATGATGAGTTCTTGAAGAGTAAGTTCTTTGAATATTGCAAATATTAATTTCTTATATATAGGCTTTCGCTTATACAAATCATCTGGTCAATCTACAAAGCACCGTCAGTTGAAGGCACTCAATGAGTGGCCACAACTGATATTCAGACATGATATGGGTGGGTTGATGTGTCGGTTCCATTTTTATAAATCAATAATTTTCATGTTAGGCTACTCATGGGCATGCTTCTACACTGTGAATTATATTGTTCTCTTAATAGACGCTTTTATCTGCTTGAGTGCTTCCAGCCTTGGACAAGCACCTTGAGGCTTTCCTTCTTGTTCTCTCTAATGGTGCTTCTTACAATTGGCACTTATGATGTCAGATGACTGAGCAAGAATCAATTTAGTTGGTCTTATCCACTACTTTTATCCTTTTTTGGCAGTTCTTTAGGTGCTGTAGGACTCCATTGTTCCATTTTAAAGTCATATCTCTGACATATTTCTGAGTGGCCTTCCATAATATATCTTTTGACTAGTACTTGGTATATATGAATATTTATATTGTTTCCCTCAATTTGATCATTGTAATGATTGTCGCTTCCAGGATATGAGGATGCTGCCTTAAAAACACAAAGAAGTCTTGCTTTTCTGAACTTTGGCCAAAATGTCATATTTAGTACGGCACTATCAACAGCAATGGTTTTGTGTTCATACGGGATTACTAACGGCGAGATGACTGTTGGTGATTTGGTAAAAAATTTTTCTTGCCATTTTTACCTGGAAAAGTGCACATATATATATATATATATATATATATATTACGTGTATCTGTCTTGGTATCTGTTAAGACTTGTTCTATTCTTGCATTTGTCTTTGTCTCTGTTAAGACTCAAGAAGGTACAAAACTTTCCAGGTCAAAACATTTTTTGTTGAGTAAATTGGTTGAATCATTGTCAAGCACATAACACATACATTTGGAAATTCAGGTTATGGTGAATGGGCTTCTCTTCCAGCTGTCCCTTCCATTGAATTTTCTTGGCAGTGTTTATCGAGAGACTATACAAAGCCTTGTTGACATGAAGTCCATGTTTCAGTTACTGGAGGTTATTCTTTATTCAATTGCTGAAAGACTAGATTTCTTCATGTCAGTTGTTTCTATCAGTTTAAAGTCATGACAAGAATTGTGAAATTGATGTTATTTCTACTCGATTGAAATCCAGAGATGTTGACAAGTGGCAACCAACATAATATCTTTGTCTCTTTTTCTCTGAAGTTCATACCACTTGTTTCGAATGGATGCATTATTATCTTTTTTCCATCATGCCTGTTGCTATGACTTCTGCTACGTTGGTACAGCAACCTATAACACAATGCTTATTTTGGTGAAATCTGCAGGAGAGGGCAGATATTAGTAACAAGGAGGATGCAAGGCCTCTCAAGCTGAATGGGGGAAGCATCCAATTTGATAACGTGCACTTCAGGTAATTAGTTACCCTTCAATCTTGTCCACTCTAGTATTGTGTAAATCTGAACTGTTATATTTTGTTGGATTCATGTGATGCAAGAAACAGCCCAAGGTTACAGGTTAGTGATTCAAATCTAAATTCTAAACCATTATAAAAAATCACTATTACCAGATCACGCAGTTGTCTTTTGAACAGCCCTTAGTCAATTATTTCACAGTAAGCTCTTCCTTATTACCGCTTTCCACTCATTGATGTCCTTGCCTCATCATGCTTCTTACTAAATAAAATAAATAAAAAGGAGTATTGACTCTCTTATGCAGAAAGAGAAGAAGTTAACACAAAATACTTTGTGATAGGAAGCATTTATGTAATTATTATGATTATTTGGTATTTTAAAACTATTTAAGCTATTTAGGGAATACTAATTAATTTATAAGCTTGTGAACTTTATTAGGATTTGGAAACTTTTAATTTCATCTTTCAGAATTGCGATAGTTTCTTATTTTGGTCATTATTAGTTTTTAAGAAAAGGCTACTAACCCTAGAGCAATACCTGACAAGGATTGAATTGAGAATTGTTTGCTAAGGTTCCCTGTTTTTCCTCTCCCTATGTTCTTTTCTGTAACATTTTTCTTTGTCTGCTGCCCCCATGTGGTTATTTGCCTTAAACTCTGATTTCTTCCTAACTGCTTCTTATTATTCAATTTCCCCAACCATACATTCCTGCATCTTATCCTATTCCAGATCATCTGGGATAAACTCCTAAGTTGTCTCACATCAATTGTGAGGCAAGTTTAGGATTATAAATGTTTTGTTTATTTTTATTATTGTTACTGTTTCTTATTTTGATTGTGTAGAATTATTTTCAGTATTTTTTTTTTTCTGTTTTTTACAACCTGACAATATAACAAAATAGTTACTGCCAGGTTGTGCATTTTTTTCCTTCCACTAGGGAAGTTTATTAGTTTTTTGTCTTTTTCCTCCTTCCTTTGCTTATAAAATGTTGCTGATTATCGATGAATAAAAGTAGAGAAAAAATGGGAGTTATTTCTTATTCTCAAATTCTTCATGGTATCCGAGCAAGTCTTATCCAAATTCTTTAGCATCCCTCTTGCATTCAATAGGCAATGGATGAGCAAACCCCTTCTTCGCCCGAAGTTCTTTTGGGCTCTCACCTTCCGGTGCCTGACAGCCATGCTTTTGCTGATCAGACTCCATCTTTCGTTACTGGTCATCGACTAAATGGCAGTAACTATCTACAATGGTCGTCCTCGGTGTTAATGTTCATCCAAGGGAAAGACCGAGATGAATACCTCACTGGAGAGCTCTCACCTCCTCCCGCGAACGATCCAAATGCTCGGATATGGAAAGTTGAGAACAATCTTGTTATGTCTTGGTTGTTGAACTCAATGACCATTGAGATTGACGAAAATTTTCTCCTTTATGAGACTGCGCACGATATCTGGGTCGCAGCTCGTGAGTTCTACTCCACTCGCGACAATACTTCCGTCATCTTCGAAATCAAAGCAAGCCTTCACAACCTGCGCCAAGGAGGGAAAACAGTAACTCAATATTACAATTTTCTTACTCGAAAATGGCAACAACTTGATGTTTTTGAGGAATATGTTTGGAGCTGCCCAGAGGATGGCAAGAGATTCCGAAGCATCGTGGAACAGAGACGAATCTTCATGTTCCTTTTCGAACTGAACAAAAACCTCAACGAGGTAAGAGGATGCATCCTTGGAACCAAACCTCTCCCGAACATCAGAGAGGTGTTCTCTAAGGTGCGACGCGAAGAAAGCAGGAAGAAAGTGATGATGGGTGATTCGCAACTCAACTCTAACCTTGCTGAAAGCATATCTCTCTCACCCGAGATTGGTACTGTTCTCACAAGTCGGGTGACTGAGCGAAAGGAACGGCCATGATGTGAATACTGTAAAAGGCCGGGACACATTCATGGAAGATGCTGGAAGCTTCACGGGAAACCAGCTGAGAAGGAATCAGTTGAGAAGAAGAAAACACCAAAGCAGAAAATGGAGAAAATTCATCGGGACAATTTTGTCTCAACAGAGGAGGAATCCGCTATAACCGTTTCTACCGAAAGCTCCTTATTTAGTCCGGAACAAATCAGCCTCCTCCAAAAAACGTTTTTACTCAATATGGTTCTCAGTAATACTTCTACAGCTCACAAAGGTAATTTTTCTAGTTTCTCAACTTATTCTACAAAAAGGGGAATATGGATTATTGACTCAGGTGCTTCCGATCATATGACTAGGGATATCTCACTATTTAAGGAATATAATAAGTATAAAAGTAAATTCTCAGTTAAAATTGCTGATGGCTCTAGCTCCTAGGTCGAAGGAACAGGAATATTACACTGATACCCAAGTTAATTTTGTATTCTGTGCTATATATTTCAATTTTGGATTGCAATCTCCTGTCAGTAAGTAAATTATCACAGGACTTGAATTGTGTGGCTACATTTAACTCTAAACTATGTGAATTTCAAGACTTGGACTCGGGGAAGACGATTGGCAATGTTAGTATGGATTCGGGTCTTTATCTACTGCAAGCTGACAACTCTTCTCTTAATAGACAAACAAACTCATCATGCAGTATGTACTAATTCTGAATCTGTAAACAACTTAAATATGGAATGCCCTATCATGTTATGACATTACCGTTTAGGATATTCTAAGTTCGTGTACTTGAAAAAACTATTTGCTGCTTTGTTTCGAAATGAAAATCCAACTTCCTTTTAATGTGAAGTATGTCAGCTGTCCAAATATATTCGAAATTTATTTTCCAGTTCAGTTTACAAACCCACAAAACTTTTTTCATTAATTTATAGTGATATATGGGGGTCCCTATCGGGTCACTAATATTAAAGGGACAAAATATTTTGTATTTTTTGTTGATGATCACACTAAAATTATCTGTATTTTTCTCATGAAAGAAAAATTTAAAGTTGGTCAAATTTTTAAAAAATTTCACATTATAATTCAAAATCAATTTCACACCAACATCCAAGTAGTGAGGTCAGGCAATGGGTGTGAATATTTTGAAACTATTTTGAGCCAATATTTTCTGATTACAGCATTATCCATCAAAGTTCCTGTGTCAATACTCCACAACAAAATGGCATAGTTGAACGAAAAAATAGACACATTCTTGAAGTAGCCTGATCCATCATGTTCACTACCCACATTCCAAAATTTCTTTGGAGAGAGGTTGTTCTCACCATGCACACTTGATAAACCGCATGCCTTCCCGAACTCTCTCATTTCGAACACCCTATGATATCCTCCTCAGGGCCTTTCCGCACTCTCATATTTTTCATAC